AGACAAACAAACATCCAATGCAGCAAACAGTAACACGATTATGCCCATGGCCATGAGCGGAGACAGGGACGCCGATCATCGGGACCAAAAGGAATCGTAAAACAAAAGCGCCAGATAGTTCGCAGAGAATGCCTCACTGTTATGGCTATATATAGCTTCTGATTCTGGTTCTGATTCCGATTCCGATTCTGTGTCTGCTCCTGCTTCTGCCGACGATGGTGATTGTGGGCACCATTGAACCAGCAGCAGCCCCAATCGATTGTGTGCATTTTTTCGGTGGCGTTAAGTGTTGGCTCTCGGGAAAACTGAAGGGAAAGCGTGGAAAATGCAGGGGAATGCTGCTGCTGTCGTCGTCCTGATAGCGAGCACAGACAGACTGCACCAGCAATTTCAGAGAGCCGCGGGGAAAAGGACGAAGCGCAGTAGCGTCATCGATGGCTGTCCTGTTTGTTGGGAAAAGCACATTAGGCTGGCCCTTAAAATGCAGTCGAATTTTATTGTAAAATAATTCTCTGATAAATATTAATTTCAGACATTGTTTTTATAACACCCTTATTTCAATTTATTAGTATTCAAATGTTTTGTTATGTTGTTTAGCTAACAAAATGACTATCACCTTAGCCTGGCAAATAATAAAAAAAATTATAAAAATTCAAAAATTATGCAAAATATTTTGTAACTTTAAAAAACATAAAACGTAATTGTACTATAATGTATTACTTATATTTCTCAGCTGGTAAAATGTTTATAAGCTTAGCTTAATTTTTAAAAATAAATCCCTCAAATGATATTGTAATATTTTGACCAGATAATAATATTTGATGTTTATATTTTAAGGGTTTTAATGATAATCTTTAACACAACTATCGAACTAACCATGCTCTATTTATTTATCATCACAAAAAAAAGGTTTTCAAAAAAGGTCATCGAATAATTTCTTTACAGTTCTGCAAGTAATAAATTAATATAGAATCTACTAATCATAATAATTTTAATGAAATGGTTTTAAGCTGTTGCTGAGTTTGAGACCACCCTAGAGCAAATCGTCGCACTTGGAAACAGGGACAGATGGAGATACGAGTGCAGCACAGTGCAGTGACACCTTGAGGCGCTGTTGGCAAACTATAGAAATCACATAAACGCCACGCCCCCGCCTGCAGCGTCCTGGCTCCCGCCTCCCGTCTGCTGCCATCCGGAAAAGTCCAGGTCCTAGCCCGCATTCGCAGCATCCAAAAAAGAGTAGCACAAGTGTGGAAAGGGGCATCTAAGAGATCAGAGACAGCCCACATGCAATGGCCGTGGAAAAGAAAATGCAACGTAAAATGCATAAATCCGTGGGATTTAAAGATTTCGCTGGAATTTGTGATTTCTCGCATTCGCTTTTTATTTTTGCACGTTTCGCTTGCGGCTGCCGCTTTTCTTTTTGTTTTTAGTTCCGCCCCCTTTTTTCGGTGTGGGTGTGGCTGTGTGTGTGTGTGTGTGTTTGGGGCGTGACTGGATTTACGCGCTGTTCGTCCTGGATAAAAAAAAAATAGTTCTTTTCCGTGGCTAGCACATCCATTCCCAATTCCCCGCTTTGACTGTTTAACACGCGCAATCAGCAGCGCTACAAATTTCATATGACATTTTAAGTTGTTTTGCATTGCCACGCCCCCAAAAACGCCAAACGATTTCAGCGATTTGCTTTCAACGGCAAAATTCCTCGACAGCGCTTTGTGCATCGCATTTCGTTGACTTTGGGGCATAATATTTCCACGCGCGATTTGCCTTTCCACTTGCCATTGTTCCATTTTGCAGTTTGAACTTTATTAGTAATTTTTTTTTGTTTAGCCCAGCTCAAATGCAGATTTTCACTTTTTGCTGGAGGGCTTAGCTTATTGCGTGTTGCAAGTAGCATGTTGCAGATTTAAGGTTGCACTTTGTATTCACAGCAGCAATTTTTATGGCCAGGAGCAAAACATATAAGTGGATTTTATTAATTAGCATATATTTTGCCAGTAGAAAAACGCTGAGTCTAATTGCAAAATCGTGTATTCGGAGCTTAATTGATTTCAATAAGAATTTTTTGTAACGAACGTTGACGTCTCGGGGGCACAGCATATCAGTTCGAAACATTCACCATTAATAACAGAACATATTAAATAAATAGATTACACTTATTTCCACTCAATTAGCGTACAATAGCGTACATTAAATCGCATGCTGAAGTTTTGAACAAAAAACGTTGTGCAATCGCCTTAAATTTTGATTATTTAGGTTATCCTGGACATGTCCGGTTGCTCTTCCCTTATAAGCTACGTGCTTTAATGAACTGTTGATTTGGCCAATGCGCGATCCGGATGGCAACGCACATATTGACTAACCTCCCCTCTTTTTCACCCATCTGTCTGCCATTCCGCTCATATTTGACTTTTGTGCTATGCGTTTCAAACAGTTTTTCAATGTGACAGGGAACCAAAGTGCGTGCACAAAGAAAAAGGGGAAGCAATTTTGTAATTAAGTGTATTAAAAATGATTCTTTCTGTATCAAGCACAACACTCGAAATGTGAAACAAAAATGCAACAAAAAAATAATATCATATGTCATATCATTTATGATATCAAAAACAAAAATGCTTTTTAGGGACTACACATTGGATTCCTAGTTTATCACTAATACGCACAGTTAGTTCCTTTTTTTTATTGCAACTTTGAGACCATTGTGTAAAGTTAATTGGTGATTTAGATTTTAAATCAGAGATAGGTTTTTTTCACATCAGAAAGCTAGATGGATTAAAGTCTGAAGTTAAAAAAGTATTTTTTGTATCAGTGTGGTAGAAGTGGGAAAAGAGGAAAGCAGACGGAACAGCACGAAATTATTTAACATGTAAATCAAGGCAGAAGCGAAAAATCTAACAGAGCTGAGTGCGAAACTTTTTTAATTTCAAAGCAAATAGCGGAGGGGATTTTTTGAACGGGGGAGGGTGGGGAAATGCGAGAAGGGCGGGAGTTTTGGGTCAGCTGGATGGGTGGGCGTGGCGCTTGTGCAGATTATGAGGCGGTGGCAGTGGCAAAATCGCGATGATTATAGTCACGTACTTGTCACACCGCCCACCACCCACCGCCCACCGCTGAGTTGTAATTACACATGTGTGCATGTGTTAGTACAGTATCCGTGCGAGTGTGTAGGTTGGCAAATATTGACGCTCAACTTTTATTTACGCACACAAATGTTCAAGTTTCCAACAAAAGATAAATATGAAGTATTCTAAATCGTTGCCATGCCGAGCTCGTATCTCCCCCCCGAATTCCCCACTCGGTACTCTGTGCCATTTACTCATTTAACTGACAGTTAAAATTACAAACGCTTATCATGTACCAGAATCATATCATACGGAATAATTTATTATGCCCAACGCTTAATGTAATTCCCGAGCAGCGAAATTTTCGCTTCACATGGCGAAGGATGAGGAGTTCGGGGAAACAAGGGGGATATACGTAAGGATATGGACTGGGGTGTCTGGGAGTGCTGGTTAACTGACTGGTTTTGTCTTTGGGATAGATGGAATAAAGTGCGCAACATACAAAATGAATATGTGCGCACACACACACATAGTTTTATTTGCTCAGCTTGCCTTCTTTCATTCGAGACCCTCGCGTAATAGACATCGTACATATAGCCATACGTATATACATATAGGATGGGTGGGCGCTGGTTTATGCTCTGCACCCCGAGGTTAATTAAGATTTTGCCATGCATTTGTTTGAACAAATGGTGTTTGTGCTCGAATCCAGCCGAGTCAGCGAAATGAAAAAGTTTTATTAGTTGTAATCCCTAATTAAATTAAAACTGTTCCCTCTAATTAAATGCGGGCTGAATGCGTGATATATGATGAATGTTAAATTAGATTATTATCGAGGCTTGGCTCAAGGGCTATCCATTAATCATTGGTGAAGTTATTAAGATCCGTTTACCTATGAATTAATGAATTTATGAATATGAAAGCGGCTTAAACGGCTTGCCAAGATAGTTTTAAATAAGTTGTTCTCAAATTATATTAATGGAACTGAACATATTTAATATACTTTTTAGATACTTAATCTTTGGCTTTGTTTTTGTAATATTTATCAAACAAAATTTCAACATTCAACAAATTATTTTTATAAAAAATCCTTGCGAGCGTTTATAAAAAGAAACCTTTTGAAATCTGCTATTAATTAAGAACAGAAATAACATGAAAAAGCAATCCGTCGATAATTTCATTATATATTAATTCGAAAAAAAATATTTGATTAACCCCAAATCAAAGTGATTTAGTCAATCGAGTGCTTTTCATGGCAATAGTTTCTCATATACATCTATACGCATTTATTTGCCTCTGTATGGGTGAGTCATTTCACTTAATTTATTAATTATATGCAAGCTATTTTCATTAATATGGTGATATATTCGCACTCGTCACTGAGGCATAAATAATTTCAGATTAATTCGATTTTGTGCACAGTGTGCTGTTATAATTATTCAATGGATACACAAATGAATATAATATTAATAAAAAACGATTTGTTAAACCATAAGTGCTGGGAAAATTTTTCCAACCTTACTTAAAGTTATATTTTTGCTCAAATTTATAGTTATTTATTAAAGAAATATTTTGTTTATTTTTAAGCCTTATGCTTAATCAATGTTTATTCGTGTTTATTTTTATCTTTTCTTTACCTTGTTGACTCAATAATATTTCAGTTATATTTTCATTGTGAATTCAAAAATGTGTGGCACAATCTTAGGTATTTAGGAATTTCTTTTAACGCTGGTAATTATTAGATTAGAATCTAATTATCAGTTTTGATCAATATTGTTTTAAGTAAGTTAAGTTTAAGTAAAGTAAACTGTTAAGCCTCTAAAGGGTTTTGTCATCCTAATGATAAGCACAAAGTATGTTTCAAACTGAGAAACCTTATGGAACTTAATAGCTTGAAATCTAATTAAGCTTCGCATAGGAATGAGAAAAGTGTTGGTCTAGCAAGCAATTAAATTTATTTAACTATCTTTAATTTAAGACACATTCTTTCGCGTGGACACGCCCACAACAAGGGCGTAGCCCGGCTTAAAAGGCTCTAGAAGAACCTGTTCGATTGGTTCCAACTGCTGTTCCTTGAGAAGCTGACACTCGGTGGCAAATGCCTCCTTGTTGGACACTCCACCACTTAAATTAGATGCCTGGAAGTAGGCCACAAAGTGACCATCTGGTTTGAGGAAATGCCTGGCATTAAGCATCAGCGATCTAACCTGTTCGGACTGCGGCAGATCGGAGAAGATAATGTCAATGCAGGCGGGCACCTGATGGCGGTACTTATACGGCATGGTGGCATCCTCAATTACGGGTTCAATGTTTGGACGGCGACTGGCTAGAGCCGCCAGTTGACGACTCGCCCAAGGACCCTGTTCCACAGCATAGACCACTCCGGACTCACCCACAATATCCGAGATGTGCGACACCGATCGTCCGAAGCCAGCACCTAAGTAAAGCACTTTTGACCCACTTCGCAGGTGCAATTCGGAAGCACCTCCCATAATTCCGGCGGCCAATTTGGATTGAAAGGGTGACCAGGCCCGAAACTCGCAGCGTTTTCCCCGAAAATCCGAAACTATCCTGTGCTCCCCGTAATCATCCGTACTGGAGCTCGTATTCCGGGTGAGCAATTGGATGGCATCGAAGCGGTCGCGTGATAAAAAGACGCCGTAATGACGGTGCGGTTCAATGCCGTTTGTGTTCTCAATAATAATCTTGCTCTCCACCTTGATCTCCTGGCATTGAATTTGACCTTCGATTTGAGCTTTGACTTGATTTTGAACCTTATCTTGAGGCTCCAACGGAGTTCCCTCGTTTAATTCAATATCCTTTGCTGAGATCTTGTCTGAAATATTTGCTAAATCCTTGTTAGAGATTTTGCTAGAGTTATGATTTGGCGCCCTAATTGAGGTCTTATTTGCGGTCTTAGCAGTCGTCTTGGCGGCAATCTTCTGCGGCTCAAACTGAGTGGACTTCGCAGTAGCACCTCCTCCACGGGGCTTGTTTGGGCGTGGCCGCCGCCTGGAGTTGGTTTCCTTGCTCATGAGATTGATCCTTTCCAGATGCCAGTCGGAACGGAATAATCACCACATCGGTTAGGCTGGGATCAGTTTTTGAAGTGGATCCCCAGGTTGAGAAGATGGAGAGGATTCCATTTTAGGAAATGTATATTTAAAAATAGTTTTTTTAAGTCTTAAAATCAGAAGAAATTTAAAGATTACTTCCAAGTACCGCAAACCATGTTTATTTACTTGTATTTTATTTGTTTTATGCATTTTACAGACCCGTAGATATACTACATTTTACAAATAATTGAACACGTAAGCGCTAGCCTATGTATTGCTCATTACTGAATATGCATAAATGGTAAACACTATAAATTGTATTCATAACTCACTCTTGAGGCCGAGTTTTTATGCGAATAATAATTAATTTTTTTCGCCACGAAATTCTCAGGGAAATACGTTGGGTGGGTGGTGAGCAAAGGTCAGTCGATTCGGCGCGTCTAGAAAGTGTACCCGCAAATGCTGCACATAATTTAACAAAGTGAACTGCACCGCAGTAGCAGCATCAGCAGCAACAACAACGACATCATGGGCAATAATAATGGCCCAGAACAAGGCAAAAACAAGAACAACTGGCGAAACAACAGCAGGCAGCAACATTTCGACTTCATTTTGTTGTGGTTTTCTTTTGGCGCTCGCTGGTTCCCTCTGTCCCTCTTTTTCTGGCAATGTACATAAAACTTTTCGGGCCACTACAATTTTTAATGCACTCTCTGACATTGCGAGGGGGCGGAAAGGTCGGTGGGGGGCCAGGCGGCGAAAGGGGGCCATTCTGGCGAACAAGCAAATGAAACTCAAGTGCATGTAGCGCTAGCCTGGCCAAGTGGTACAGTAAAAAATAAACAAAAAAAACTGTTTTTCAAAGCCGAATTTTTCGTTACTCTTTTAATTAGTCTTTTAATCAAATGGGAAATTGTGTGGAATAAATTTTCGATTCTAAATGAATTTTTAAATCTTAAAATGGCCTCATAAATATGCAAATAAAAAATTTTAATTTTAAATTTAATTTAAAAAAATTTTTAATTTTTTATTTTATTAATTGTTCAAAGCAGGAACTGTTTGTTTTTGGGACCTCAGAACATGAGAACATTTATAGAACTTTTCTAATGCTTTATAGAACTTAAACACTTAATAAATTTAAAGGAAATTTTTCTTGGTATAAAAGTTTGTCCACATAACTTAACCAAGAAAAATTACCTTTAAATTACCTTCAAAAATGTATATTTTCCTAGTTTATTTAATTACTTAAACAAACATTCCAGCTATAACAAAATAACTTTTCTTATCCATTATATCTAACCGACTATAACAAAAATATGTTAAGTGAAAAATTAAAATACCCACTATCAGGGTACAAAAACAAACCAACGTCGAAAAAAATCACAAAAAAAAGAAAGAACGAAATAAAACAGGCGCAAGAAAGGCCAGAAAAGGAAAACAATAATAACACACCAGGGGCCGTGGGTGAAAGGCGGGGAAAACTCAGATTTTTAATAAACTTGCCGCGGCTCCTTCTCGCTTTTCGCATTTTGCTGCATACTTCTGGGCGCAGCGACAATAGTATAGTAGCATTATTGTTGCCACAGCGGCTGCTTATTTACGAGTATTTGCCTAGGAATGTGGAGAGCGTCTTGCCAAGTGCCCAAAATAAGAACCCCCCATCTTTATAATGAGCCGCCGAGCGCCAGACGACGGCAGTTCATGAAAAATCAAGAGCCAAGAACTTTTTAGCCACCCCCACCCGCCAAACTTTGGCTCAATGTAAATTTCGCCCGATCATGTTTGAAGTTTATCCAGCGGGCGGAAGTGGGCAGTTCTTGGCCATGTTGGGACCACCTACACGACAAGTCTGCTGCAACTCCATTAACCCGCTGGGAACCGCAAGGACACCACATACCCCAATGGCAGACCATAGCCAAACCCTTATGCATGCATGACACGGCTCGAAAAAAAGGGGAACCATCGCTAGAAAATATAAATAAATTATTCCTAACTAATTAATATATTAAGATAAAGTTCTGTATATTTCGTTAATATTTTATGTAAATAAATAACTTTTTCTGATGGAACGTGTTAAATAGATTTATTTATTTGAAGTGACCATGATTGTCTTTGATTTGGCTACTTTTTTAAATAAACAGTATGCTTACTCAGATTAACAAAAATTAAAAAATTAACAAGGACATACAAGTTTTCATTGTCCATTTAAATATTGTAAAGAACATAAAAATATTAGTTCGTGTCACAAAAAAAATATATTTAAGTTACTAACTCTTTTTCAGGGGTAAGGAACTTTAATAAAAGAATATAATGAATTAAGAAAATCTTATGTAATATCATTCAAAATGGTGTCAGCTTTCACAATTTTAATGGACACTAAATAACACTAAATAATAGATTGGAATGATCAGAATTTAATATTTTAAAAAAAAAAACATTTTCTCAAAGCGTTTAGTGGTACTTTCCGCTCAGTATCATTTGGCCAAAAGCTTTACTGTAGCAGCTTCCTCCTTAGCTTGCTTAACCTGACCAGAACGTGACGGGCGGAATGGGAGGAAGTTGGATGGAATGGGTTCTATTCGGCTGGTGCAAGGTGGGGGAATGCATTTTTAAAATACTCGCGCGCATTTTCGCAAATGGCAACAAACGGCGCCAAGTTTAGCAGCTGCGCTGCCTTCGGGTGCTGTAAAATGCAAAATCCAAATGCCCTGCTCCCTTTTTCCATCGCCTGCATGGCTTTTGGCATAACATTTTTAGCATATTTGTTGTAGTCCAAACACGTGACAAGTGTGCGAGTGTGTGAGAGTGCCATTAGTCCCTTGGTCATGCGCCTCGTATGGAAAACTCACGTGCCATCTACGGATATGCAGCTAGTGCCAGAAAAAAGCAAAAATAAAAACTTTACCGCAAGAGTGTCGCCGGCGACAACAACGGAAAAATACGAGAATGGCCTTTGACCGGGGGGAAATCGCGGTGGTCATACATTTGCCATCGCATCGGCATGCTTTTCGATCCACATTTTAATCAATTTTTCAGGCATTAAGTGCGCAACATCCGAGGGTCGGCCCAAAGTACTACAAAACACCAAAAAAAATTAAAAATTAAATTAGAAATATAGTATATGATAAAAATTATTGAATATATCCCACAACCATCGAACTTAATTTTAACTTTTATCCTTAATCCAACGAAAATATCATGGAATTGACTTAAACTTTTATATTCGTTTATTTATTGAGGCGATCCAATGCATAGTTGGTTTATGCATAGTTCCACATAGTTTACGAGCTCTCCTCGTGACCTAGTACAAATCCCTGTTGAGGACAGGCGACAATAATGCCTGAAATTAAATAAATATGCTCGAATATTTTCGGTTTATTGCAATGTAAGTTGGTGGTAAAGTGTGCGAAATATATTCGATAAATACTTGAATATTAAATCAGCTTAATGTGGACGAACGGCGAGGGCGTGGCACTTCACCTAGCGCGCTCATTGAGCTCATTAAGCCCATAAGCTTTATTGATTTTTAACAAGCTCCCAATGGCTGTGACGGCAATTTACAAAAATTAATTATTGCCAGCCGAGCAGAGTGGAAAATGCATTTGAATTGATTTGAGTTGATTTTATTTTTAACACAATTTAATTCAACCATCAACTTGCAACCCATTATGTTAAAATCGAGAGCATTAAGTTGCCCTGTAATTTTCTGACAGCGTTAATGAAAGACAAATCTTGTTACACTCCTCCTGAAGATTGTCACTGTTTTAATATAACAGGAAATATTTTTGTTGATATTTTTATTCTTTATAAAAAACATATAATATCAAATCCTTTAAAGATTTACTATTCTCCCAGTGTTTGCAACAATGGGAGTGTGTTTTATCAGGATGACGGGAGTACAACAAGCCGCAGCACAACATTAACATCAGCCAGGCTGACAGCTGCAGAAGCTTCAGCTGCAGAATCGCGAACAGGATGAGATAACCCCGATTTGGCCTTGCCAAAAGCAGCAGCAGCTGCAACTCTGCGAGTGACTGATAACTTCAGCCATTTGCCATTTGTTCCCCCAAATGTCCCGCCCCAGCCCTTTTCAGGCACAACAAATGAAATCGATAAGAAACTAAGCGGCTTGCCGGCGAAATTCTATTTCTTTTCCACCGCGACTTCAACTGCCTTTGCAGCTTAAGCTGCAGGATGCATTCCGCCATTTCTGCCGGCCAAAATGCGACCAACAGCAACAAGGACTGGCATGTGGCTAATAGGATTTGGCCGCCACATCGCCAGGATTGGGTGGGAATGCAGTTTTCAATTGTCTACTCCAATGCACAAGGCCGCGGGTTAATGCAGCACTAAGTACTTGGTTTCAGAAATTAAAACTTTTTTATTGTTTGTTTTATTTGTTTTATATTTCGCATTTCGGAAAAATCCGCCAATTTTTTTCCAAAGAGTACGCTGTGTTGTAGCAAGCATACAAAATTTTAAAATTCCATAAGAAATTTAGGAATTATTACTTTAAACTTAGTAAATTTTTCATTTTTGTTCATAATTACATAAGCTCATGGGATATCCTTTTTCCTAAAACATTTTTTAAAGTATGCACTTGAAAAAAATGTATATCGTTAAAAATTCAAAAGAGGTTAGGACGTGTTATAAAAAAAACCTCATAAAATATGTATTTAACACTCTTAAAATTATCAGGAATTAAAATTTCTATGCTACGAGGTAGACTTTACATAGCACTGTCTGTTAAGCTTAAGCAATATGCTGCATTTAACATTTCCTGTTACCTTTGAGTATCTGCAAAAAGTCTCCACTCTATAAGCCTAACATCGAATGTCATTTACAGTGGCTACAAAGCCACAAACTAACAGAAACAGCTTCCAAAAAATTTAAAAGCAGAAGCAAGAGAAAATCCAAGAGACGTACCGCGCCCAACGAAATCGGCAGTTATTTTCTCTTTCCTTAAAGGACTCTATCTCTCTTCCACACGGAATTTCCGACCGAAAACGAAGCTGCGTTTTCCTGCGAAAGTATATCCACGGCATCAAAGAGTTGCCCAGAATCCGAGGCAGAATCCCGAATCCGGAATCCGCAGGCCGGAGTCAGTTTCACGGCAACTTTTGTCCTTAGCGGTACGAAGGGAAAACGCTGCCGATCGGAGCGGTACGGTTCAGCTGTTGTTGTTAATCGGCGTCAACAAACGAGCACAGCAATCTGAAACCCAAAACTGATAACTAAAGTTCCCCAGCCAATTCAAATAAATACAAGTTCACAAAAAAATACGAAAATAATCACGCTCATGCTGTGAAATTATGGATTTATGCAAATCGGCCTGTATGGCAAAATAGAAAATGCAGCTGCAGTGGCAGGCTGAAAAGCACATAAATATTTTAGAAGTCAGTGCAGATTTTAGACAGCCGGAGTGAAAGAGAAGGGTATGTATGCAGAAAAAAGAGGGCAAGTGTGTGTGCATGTGTGTCATTTAAGCCAGTCAATGAAATGTTTGTTAATTATGTATGTGTATACATTACATTGCCATTAAGTAATTAACTCAGCTTCAAGCAGAGCTGTTTAAGTCACTGTCGCTCTCTCACTCTCGCCGTGTGTGCCTGTGTGTGTGTGTATATGCGTGTGCTCCATTTAGGGTTATGCAGATGTGTGTGCGTGTGTGGGTGCTTGACATTGTCTTCGTCGATGGGAAACATGTTGCGTATACGCCATGTTAATGCACAACAAATTGAGAGCAAATTGATATGCCGAACAACTGCAAATGCCAATGGAAATGGTAATGGTAATGAAGATGGAGTTGGAAATGTTAAGTACGAGTCGGTATTGCCATTAATTTGATATTTAAATTGTAATTGGAAGACAGAGGAATTTTGATGTCTGAGAACCTCGGGGAGAAGTCCTTGCTTTTCAAAAGCAAGTCAGCACAAAGCATTTGTCTAATTGCATAAGCATATACTCCTTTTGCAACAATCAATTCAAATATCCGAGATTCAGTGGAGCCATTTCGATTGTTGTGTCTGTAATATGTGAAAAGAATTTTTGTGCATTTGCCTGAGTCCTTGATTTGATTTTGTTATCTGTCGTGTGCATGTTTGACTGGCATTCTTGGCTTGGGGAATTGCAAATCATATTCCTGTCCAAATATTTGTATTGCCTGACATCTATTGCACAAAAAGATCTTGTCAATCAGCAATATAAATTGAATAAAAATAATTCAATTAACAAGTATTTAGACTCGCCTCAAGGATAGAACAATGCCATTTCGCTTTCCGATTTGGCAATGATTTTGTTTGCTTACTCAGCTAAAAATAGAAGATAACAAGTTACAGCTTAAATAAAACAAACATAAAGCTTTGAATAATCATTTTGAATTTATGAGCGTTTCCATCAGATATATATTTTTCTTCCTTAACATTTCTTTCACCCAATTTGACGTTGATGCTCCGGCAGCTCAGCAGTTGTTGGCAGATTAAAGTGTAAATTAAAGTATCTATAGTTACTGTTTCTTATTATTCATTTGCCAGCAGCAAATTGTTGAAAAAACATATTGATTTCACCGTAATTATTCAACTTTACCTTATCTCTTCTTACGCCTTTAATTAATTATTTCAAAAATAGGTGTGCTTGGCTCAGTAGTTTTCTCATTGATTTAAATTTAGACATAATAATCAAATATTTAACTGACATACTTTGCAGTTGTTTCTTCCTTCGTTTGGACATTTCTGCTTTCCTGTCTGTACCAATAGCAATTGTAATTTGTTCATTCAGATTCCTTGGACGCCTGCAAGTCTAACTTATATTTTTAGCAGCAGCTCTCTTGGGTGTCTGTCTGTTTTTAAAAATCAAGTGCCGTTCCGCAACAAAAACTTTGCCACGGTAATTTTAATAAACGCGTCAATGAAACCAAAACAATGAGGACACCATCAGCAACAATAACAACAACATTAACAAGGGAAGCCCACAAAAAAGAAGCCACAATTTGATTAGAGCATTAAAGGACTTTGTGCCACAAAGCCCGAAGCGTCCTGCCGAGGCCAGGATGTCTGTTACCCAGACTTTGAGATTTTGCCTGGACCTTGGCCAGCTATGGGAATTTTTGGCTTCCGAGGCAGACAAAGTTGTCTGCTATATTTTTGAACATTTTTTTTTTTTTTGCTATTCCCTCTGTTGGACCTCGGTGAATTTTTGAAACTGTCAACGTTTAAATAACGCTGACAATGACAATAAACAAATGCAGTGGCCAAACAGAATGAAAGCGAAAAAAATATCCGAGAAAAGTTTAATAAAAAGCCAAACCGAAACTTTACAAAAGTCTGTCATGTGCGGGTGAGGGCGGAGTTTACACCGAGAAAAATGTTTATTTTATAGGTCTAATTAGTAATGCTAGCGGTGGTTTTTGCATGAAAAATGTAAGCGATCACATGGTTCTTTCAAAAACTCTATTTTAATATTCATTTTTTTTTAGGTTTAGATGGGATTTATATTATTCACAAATTACTTTAAAATTCCATTTTTCCCTGTGCACAGATGTTCGACGATGAATGTTTTTTGTGCTTTGACGCCAAAAAAGTTTTCAAATTTAATAACCTTAAAACAAAATAGCCATGCGAACGTTTTCTTTTTGCTAACAAGGATTCCCCATTTATTTTTCTAGCTCATTGGCCCGCTGACCTGTCAATGGCATTTATCGATATCGAAACTATATCTATGTAGATGGACGACGATGTAATCATAAGAGGCGGCGCGTAGAGCAGAAAAAGTTTTGCCCCTAAAAGTTTGGACTAATAGAAAATATGGCCGGCCATTGAGTTTGGCCAAAAAGAGCAAAGTTTCCCGCTTTCCCGTCCGCTTCGTCCTCCGGCGTCCTGCGATATTGTTCCATGTGGCCGGGGAGCGGGATCGAAATCAGCTGGATACTTTAAAGGCGACTGCCCACCATGGACCTTGGCCGCTGGCTGCTGCAGCTGGGCGTGCACATGCTGCTGGGTAAGTTAAAGTCCTGGCCACAGGACTCGCCGTCCACGGCCGTAATAATGAAAATATTTGAAACTTTTCATTTTATTGCCTTTTGCTTTTAATCCTTTGGCAAGCCGCCGCAAACCTTTTTTACGACAAAGTCCATGATGTCGGCAACTTTGTGGATCCCGCACACACTCACACCACACACACAAAAACACAGGAGCACTATGGCATAGTCATTTAGGCTGTTCCGTTTCCGGTCGCCTCTTTTGTGCATTTGGCTTCTGTGTGACCCGAACACGAAATTAGCATAGCAATAAATGTGTTTGTTTGGGTGTCGCCGCCTTTCACCCCGTCCGATATTCTCTTCTGACCCGACCTCGACCGCATCAATTTATGCTAATTTTATGCCACCGAAATTGTTTTTTAAATACACTTTTAATTATGGCCCAATGAAAAGCAAAATGAACCGAGACGGCCAGAACTTGGCATCGAAATAAAAATAATAATTTCAATTAGCTTTAATGCGTCTGACAAAGATAAGCCGTGTTTTTCTTCACTGCGGCTTTTCTTTGTTGCTCGGGCAACACGGTGGATAGGAAAATATTTTACGAAGCAAACTGCAAAACAAACTTTTTCAGGGGCTAAAAATAAAGCTTGTGCTAAAAATAGAAAAAGTCTTTTTCATAACATTTTGAACAGCTTTAATGTGAATTTGATCTCAGTTTTTTCGAGACATTAAAACATAGTCATAACATAAAATTGGATTATTTTATATGCAACAATATATGATTAAATATACTTAAAAAATACACATATAAATAAACATTATAAGGTACATTAAACAAAAACATGCTTACTGTCAACAGTTTAAATATTCTGAAGCTTACTCGCAACGCGATTAATCTGCTGTCGCTTAAATTAAATTTCAATTTAATTTTTCCTCTTTTACTATTTCTCCGAATATTGAAGTATTTGTGGTTTTATAAAATTTTACTATGCAAATCAAATTCATTACCAAAAAAAAAGAATGACAACAAAATTTCAAACGATGTGCACAGAGTTGGCAGAGTGTCCTTCTTAACGAGTTCATGCATTGTTTGAGGAACCTCAAATGGCAAGGACAAGGACATAGACACAGACATTGACAAATGCCACGACACTCGGCTGTGATGGCAGGACATTTGCATAAACCAAACATAAATGCGACAATTTCAACCCGGAGTACGCCTTAAAGGATTTACCCCACTGAGTAAAAACTGTGGCAAGGAAGTCTCTCGCTCGCTATATTTTATTTGCACTTTTCTAAAATTTATAGACGTTCTTAAAATTCACTGCAAACAGTGGCTGGCTGCTACGAAAATAAATATTTGGCTACAACGGGCGGCAGAGAAGCCGAGTGAGTCGAGTCTCTGGCCCCAAGTGCCATAAAGTTTATTTAAACAAATTGCCGATTTTATAAGTGTCTTCAATTTTAGTAAGTGTGCGTATCCCATACGCCCCCGAAGGCTGAGTAAACGATGCGATATCTCTGCCATGTTTGCACACAAAAATTACACATCTCCGCCCCCGGAAAATTGTGTGGGAGACTTGCATGTCATGTGGCCAAGAGTCTGACAAAGCCTCTTGCCAAATCTGAACTTGAAGTTGCAGCCGAGTCTCGAGTCTCTCAAATCAAGTTTAAACTTTCACGCGTTTGCAGCTGCTTACCAAATGGGATTTGGACAAAAACAGAGAAACACGAGCAAAAACAACAGAGCAACGCATCAGCTGAGAAATCTCGACCATGCTTTTTGGCCAAGCGTTTTTCTGGCCAACTTGGCCCGCTCGTGTTGCTCGTTTAGCTGCTCGATTTTCCTCTCGCTTTTTTGTAGTTTTTTTTTATGGAAGCCACTGCGCTTTGCTGAGATTAGCATCTTTATTTGTGTTTGCTTGCCGCAGCACAGCCCAGAGCCAAACTAAAACAAACTCCCACTTCGAACCAAACTGGCGCCCAGAATCCAATGTCCCACTTGTCGTTGTTGGCCCCGCATTTGTATGCAAATTATAGACGCCTGGCCCCTCGATTTTCCCGCTTTTCCGGCTCCTTGGGCTGCTTACTTTTCCCTTGGTTTACTGCAGATTTGTCTGTTCGAGCGTTTATCGTTCGTTCGGCGGCAAATGCTTAAAGCGGATTTGATCACAGACCGGGAATATAGGCAAAATACATTTCTTATTTCCCCAACTATTCGGATCCTGCAGTCCCTCTTAAAGCGGTCTCAAAGCCTTCGAAGCAGAAGAGCTTATTGAACTGCTTTTGGCCCTTGACTTTCATTAGAGCTGACTGAGAAGATGTCTTCTTTGCTTGCGGAGCTTTGTGGGCCACAAGCGAACAGCTGCGCCAGAGTAGCACTACACTTAGGAAAATCATACACAACAAGATTTCCATTTCCAAATCGTCATATTTTTAGCGTGTCTTACTTCTCTGGTTTCGCTACCAGTTAACCCATTTTAATTTAGGAATTAAAGGCTTTGCTTATGATTAAATGGAAAGTAAATGGATATAAAATTGTATAGAAATAGAAATTAGGTAATTTTTAAATTAAATTAAAATTTAACTTTGATTCATCTTTTAATAAAAATAATATTTAATATATTTCTTTCTATATACTATCCCAATTTCAGATTAAAAATTTAGTATACATGTCTTATTTTTTCTTTTACCGAAATATATAAACATAATGACAAAAACGAGCTTTAAATCTATTTGCATAATTTTCTCAGAGTGCACAGAAGCAACAGCAAATTAATGCGCTGTCTTGGCTGTTCCTTCGACTCGGTTTCATCCTCAGTCTGAGTCGTTGGTTCTTCTCCTGGTTCTGGTTGTTAGGCAGCAAAGTTCACTCAAGTGCGTTGATTGCCGTGCAAAAAAGTTTGGTTTGTCTGTATTTGATGTACTTATTTTTATTATTTACATATACAAGCAGGCTGCCCTTACACACACACACGCACACAACCGCAAACAACATTTGTGTCCTGTCTGTTAGTCGCGCAGGTGAAGTTTTCCATTTACTTTTCCTCTACGGCTGTCATTAAGCTGCGGTTGCCGCTGCCATTTGCAAATGTGTTTGCCATTGTCGTCCTTGTTGCTGCTGTTGTTGCTGTTGCTCCTGTTGTTGTTCGTCGGCTGCTTTGACATGCTTCAAAGGACTCATGTCAGGCTAGGACTCAGAATCCGAATCCGAATCAGAATCGGAATCAGAATCAGGCAGGCACTTTTGTCGTTTGTCTATTGAAAGTTTAAACAAGTTTGTCAGGCCCGTTTTCCCATTTTCCAGATGCTGCAGCCAACTCAAAGAGTTTTCCCTCGCAGAACAAACTCGAACAAGCCGAAAATAAATACTCTGCTCATGGTGCCTACGGCAATCGCAACTTTTGACATCCTTGCAAGTTATTTCAACTGTAAACTGCGACAAATTAAATTCACGAGTGTTGCAGTTGCAACTGTTGCTGCTAGAACTGTTGTTGTTGCTGCTGCTGCTGTTGATGTTGCTCGCGTTTTTGATGTTGCTGTTGCTGGTGGTTTCTTTTGCTGTTGCTGCTGCTGTTACCTATTGCGATTTGCGAAAATTATGCACAAGTTGTTGGCTTCCACTTGGCGACATCTCGCGGATTTCTTGCTTATCATGCGGCAGTCTGCTCCAGTTGCAATTGCAGCTTCAACTGCAGCAACTGACTGGGCCAAGATTATGCAAAATTTTACCCGGCAGCAACTTCGGCATTTAGCGCAATATAGGGAGCTGGAAAAACACCGCGGCAACAGCGGCAGCAACAAAAACCCATTGCAGCTAATGATATTAACCATTTTTTCCGGCATTTTCCCTTTTTTTCCCTTTTACTCTCGCTCTGTCTGTTTGCACTTAAAAGCGTTCTGCAAATTGTAAAAACCAGCACGCGGTTTATTGCTGTTATTGCTATTGTTGTTGTTGGTGGCAGCGTTTAGTGTGTTTTTGTTGCTGGCAAACTCTGTCTGAGTTTTAGTGCTCAGCATTTCTACAAGTTCATTCAATTAGGAGTTGTGCGTCGGTTGCTCTTGTTCGTATTCTGCTTCTCCTGAAAGGCTTTAATTCGTGCCATTTTCATTTTACTTTTGATAAGCTTAAAATGCAGAGCAGCGATTAAGAATGTTTCTCAATTTGCATCAATGTATCAAGATGAAAATGAGCGGGGGAAATGTAAATTAATGTTTTATACAGAAATGAGTATATATATTTTTAACACAAACTAAAACCGAATATGAAGTATATTGAAAACCATTTGTTAAAATTAAGTTAAGATATTAATGTTTAATAAAAAATAACAAACTGAGAAGTTATACCATTTTGATGAAATAGTGAATAAAAAAAAACTTTTCATTTTGCTTAAAATAATACCCATATCTGAATTTCAAAGGAAATATAACAAAATCATAAACTTTAAAAAATATTATATTATTCGATATTTTATATTATCTCTAGGTAACAAAAACCGAGCGAAAAATGTCTGCTTTTATTTAACAAAATCGATCTGCCGAATAAGATTTTCAAGATTTTTCCTTTGTTTTGAACTCCCATTTCATTTATAGAAGAAGTTGCTCCCCTGCGTTCAAAAAAAGAATGAAATGATAATTTTTTATTACCGCACAATCTCTGACAGGAAATCGAGATTCTGTGGGACTGGTTTAATGCCTCAATTTAATGCAGACGAATGCAAAACATTTTCTTTTTGCTGCCAGTTTTTCGTATTTATTCTTTTTTATTCACCATTTTTATGGCATTTCTCATCATTTTATCTGACGTTTTTCATCTCGCTGCATGGGACTAACATTCTCCCCTCTGTTTTGCTCTTCTCTTCCCCTGAAAATCCCAACATTTCCACCCTGCCAGTTGTGCGGCGCATTCAGTGTCTACGTGTGACTGACATCAATGTGCCACAAATTGTTGATTTTCGTGATAACGTGACATTATCCTGCAGCTACGACATAAGTGGTCACACGTTAAATTCGGTTAAGTGGTACAAAAACGGAAGGGAGTTTTTTAGGTAAGTATGGATATGATGCACCAAATTAATTTTTGTGGGTAACCTTTTTTTTGCATTACTTAAACCATACAATGTATTACATTATTATAAAAGAAATTATTTCAAAATCATTAATCAAGCTTAAAATCAGGAAAGAAATACTATTTTTACAAATAAAATGTGGAATTTGAAGCTGTATTCGCATATAAGGGAAGAGCATATCATATAATATAAGTATAATATAAACTTAATTAATAACGCGAAAAACAAATAGAAAATACTATATAACCTAATTATTTCAGAAGTGTGTTATAAAGCTCGTACTCTTATTTTTTTTTTAAATTTTATTATTATTTTAAATTCAATTTTATTTTAAATATTTTGGTTTTTTTGCATTAAACTACGATATTTGCCCGAAGCGATTTGTCATGAAACCAATAAATTAAAATAATTTTAGAATTTGATATGCCGAATATCGAGGAGGTAATTACAAAACAATTAGAAACCAATCCAGTTTAGTATGTCATACAAGCACTCCACAACGATGTCATTAGGCAACAATTATGCAATTGTTTATTAAACGTATAATATGATAGCTGAACCAGATAGTTTCGAAGCCGACTGTCCCTGTTCATAATTTATGATATTTATTTCAACACGCTGCTGTCAAATGCACGGGAATCTGGGCCATGGTCCCCGTGACCTCTGACCCCCAAGTGCTTTTCTGTGCATGCGATACACACGCAGCCACAAATATACTCATTTTCGGCCCGGACGACTTTCTTGGTCAATTAATTATTAAATAAATTAATTTGTGTTGGCAAATTAATTTAAATGTTTGGCCAAACAGAAAACTATGAGCCCTTCAACGTTCTCTCACACGTGTTGCCCGTTAAGCCGGATTTATTATTTATGGACACATCGTTTGCAGCGAACCACACAAGAAAAACAAATTAATTGCCCAAAAAAGCACCTAGTTATGATTGAAGGTTTGTTTGACCCCAAGCTTGCCTCAAATAGTGGCAAAAAGACACATTATTATTGCCATCTTCTTCGACAAGGATGTGAATATTAAAAAGCAGACTCTTTTGCTTAATTAAAAATGAGTAGAGCAGAGCACATAGACAGCAGCGGGCATCACATATATGAACTCCCGCGCACAGATGAAATCTGCGAGAAAAAGAAAAAGAAAGGGAACGAGACAGTTAGCGAATCCCATGGGGCGAGCAAAAGTTTTAATTAGACAGCAGCACGTAAAAGTCAACTGGAGGCAAATTGCAATTCCACTTGCACTTGCCAGCCGAATGCAAATTAAGGCAAACACTAGTGCAACGAAAAGAGCACCAGAAGTTCACAAATAACTTGCAACATTTTTCTTTTCTTTGCGTTTTAGGGCAACTAATTGCCAACGGCTTGCAGTTCAAGGATTTTTTTGCAGCTTTATAAACTTTCAGTTTTCAATATTAGTTATAAAATCTATAAGCTCTTTTTTGGCAAGGCATAACTCATGGATGACAAAATGTTTTCAAATTGACACTAATTGGCCAGGGTTTTTGTTTGAATAAATATACAAATTTGTATTCCCAGATAATACTAGAATTTTATCCTTAAAGTTGATCCCAAGGCAGTAGCATAATTGGCAATTTATTTTTTGCTTTAAACAACAGAACGCAGGCGTTTCTTTTTTTAAGTAAACTTAATTGAATGTGTATTTTAGTTTGCCTTTTTCTGTGTGTGGCCAAACAAAAACCCAAAGAGAGAATCTCGAGCATTATTCAGCTTCTGTCCCAAACAAATCCCCTTGTTACGAGCATCGGACGGCGGCGGTTGCCGTTTATATTGCTTATCAAATTTGTTGATTTGCTGCCGCAGTTACCGCCTAAGCCGCAAATAATGCGAAATCGGGCACAGAATCCCAGCCCCGCCCCCATATCCCTGGCCGCCCCCTTTTATATCATGGCTATTAACAAGTAGCGCTCGAAGGCGACTTATCAACACTACAGCAGCGCACAAAAGTAGGCAACGATTTTTTTGCCTTAGCCAGGATTTTATTTATGTGGTTTTTGTAGTGGGAGAAAGCCACTTGGCCTCTGTGTTTGTGTGTGTGTGTGTGTGTGTGTGGGTGCGTTGGACAAGTTTTCCACTTGAACACTTTTTGTTGTGGATTCCGCTTTTTACATGTTTTGAGGCATTTGTGGGATTAATGAGCATCAATCCACAATACAAAACAAATTAAAGGGCTGCCCTCAGCTCTTGCTTCCTGACCGCTTTCCCCCTTTTTCCACCGATTCGCCCACTCTTCCCGGTTTTTCCACACGTCGAACCCACATTGGCAATCAGTTAAGGTTGAGTGCATGTAAGCCACTTGTCTGCGAGTGGCGAAAAAGAGAAACGATTCCTCCATTTCCTGGCCGGTTTTCGTTGATGGCTTTGAAAGCTTTTAACCCAAGCCTACGACACACATCTGCAGATTATCAGTTGGCTTTCGAAGGGAAGGGAGTGGCGGCCCTTTGCAATTTGCGGCCACTTTGCCAGCTCGTCTCAACTGCCGCTATATAAAGTGCTGTCAGCTTGGCTATTTTTTAGTGACATATGGCCCATTTTTAATGTTAAAGAAATAAGGTTTAAGTTCTCAAAAGCACTTCGAATATTAAATAAAATATTTATAAAGAATGGTTCAACCAATATCCTATTTAACACTTTATTTTATTGTGTTATGCAACAATTATTCAAATATGTTTTATGTTGTACAACAATTATTCAAATATGTTTTATATAAAATATTACAAAATATATTTATATCATAGCTATTTAACAATTTATTTAATATACTTGTATTTTTTTTTAAGGTCATAATCTACTAATTTTTTACAACTTTAGGGTTAAGACAACCAATTAATTATATATTATTACAAATTGAGCACCAGAAACACAAAACTTATAAATATTTTTAGCTGCTGCTAATTATTGTTCTAGCTTGTTTTTGGCACCTATTTGGGCCGTCACTGCTGCCTTATCGTATGTGTATTAATCAGTCAATCCTCACAGGTACTCGCCCCTCACCCCGCCCACCTACATCCCGTTCGCGGTGGAGGGCGTGCAACTGATCGATGACGGCAACGAGTGCAACGAATCCTCCTGTCGCGTGGAGCTCAATTTATTGGGCGTCAAGTCGTCGGGCGTCTACAGGTGCGAAGTGTCCGGCGATGCTCCCCACTTCCAGCTAACTGCACGCGATGCCAACATGACCGTCGAAGGTAAGTCGAGGGGCCTTGAGTAATGAAATGCAATTCCAATTGTTAGTCTTAAATTAACGAGAGTGGGCCAGTAGGTAAGGCAAACGCCTTACCATCGCCAACGCCAAGCACGTGCTCAAAAACTATCTGCGGGAGCGCAATGCAAATGCAGAAAAACATTGAACGCACTGAGAAAATATTTTCCAAAGTTTATGATTTCAATGCTGTAGAATAAACTTAAAATCCAAATGAAAAGTACAACCTCAATGATGGTGTTAGACTATTAAAACATTTTAACAAAAATATAATTAGGCTTTAATTCAAAAAATATTTATTCTTTATAATTTTTTTAATATATGGTAACCCAAATAATTAAATCTTTAATTTTTATAATAAATGGTATTGTTTTTCGGTTTGACATTCACTTTGACGTTCTATTAAAAACATAATATCTGTGGCGATCTACAAATCAAAATCTTATTATTTTTTTAAAGTGCACCAGTGTATTTCTGCGTTGGCGTATTCCCACCTTGTTTCCTTTGCTGCTGCACAGCATAAACAGAGTAAAATGTGTAATTTCCGTGATATTTTAATAGTAAACAACGGGAGAAGAAAACTGGAAGAAACATGCAGGGCCGTTTGCATATATGACGAGCTGGCAAAGTGGCTGCTTCTGCAGTGGGGCAGTGGGTGGTGGGGAGTGGGGTGTGGTGGGTGGATGGTTTGGTGGTTGGGTGGTGTTGCACACGCACAGGATAAGCTTCGAGGCAGCAGAAAGCGAGGCAGCCAGCCATTCAGGATGTGCTTGCGAGAGGAACAGCGCGCGTTCATAAAATGTAACCAAGAGATGCATGTGATTCGCATCCGCGACACACACACACATACAGGGCACCCTTCCTGCTCCTCCTTACAGCTGTATGTATGTATGTGTGTGTGTGTGTGCGTTTCTGTGATTTACGGCAGCACTTTATGCTTAAAAAGGATATCGCTAAAATGAAAAGCTCCGCCACTGCCAGTGCCTCCGCCTTTCCCGCCTTCCCTACTCCTCTTCCTCGCAGCGTGTGCGTTTCGCCTTCCTCTTATTTTCGCTTTTACTTTTGCCCCACAGGATGTTTCTCTGCATGTGTTTTATGATCATCTATTTTTCCGCTGATATAAAATAAATATCTTGTAGAAGCGGGGCAGCCATGCCTCGGGCTCTGCTGCTTTTCCCCGGCGCTACTGTTGCTAAAATATTTTTAAAAATTTATCAAAAGCAAATAGAGAAGTTGGGAAAAACAAACATAGAAAGAAAAGTAACATAAGCAAAAACAAAAAAAAACCAGAGCAAATAAGGTGCGCCATTTGCATGTGTAATGTGCGTTTAAAATTAGCTAAGGACGTAACTGAGAGCTGCGATGCACTCAGCCGGGGAAAAAGTCATCTGTCTCGCACTCACGCATTTGTGAGTGGGCTCCTTTTACTCCAAGGATACTACTACAGTTGCCTCTACTCGCAGCTTTACTCAACATTGTTCGGGCTAGTTAGACAAGTTTGCTTTTCTTTTATTGTATTTTAAATATGCATTTTCTTGAGAAGTATACAAGTATTTGACAAATTAGTTACAAAACCCCTCACGACATCATACGAAATACTAACATGAATATATGTTACGTGTAATATACAGTATAACATTTTTCATTCTGCTGATAATAAATATACAAAAAACTTTGAAATCGATTATTTTGGATTTAAGGTTAAATTAGTTTGGGAAAGAAAAACATAAACATAATAAAATGGTATCCGATTTAAAATGAATTTAAATCATTATTTAAATTATGTTTTTCTGAATGTAAATTTTAAGAAATATTTTTTCTTTCAGCTTTGCCCCAAAACAATCCACTAATTAGCAGTTTTCATTCGACGTACCGATACGATGACTTCGTGCAGGTCAACTGCAGCACAGACTTTTCCAGCCTGTTCAATAGGATAACCTGGTATGTCAACGGGATAAAGGTATAAGTATAACCCATCGCAATCTTTCTGTAAATGATTTGACACTCTGAATTTTGTAGGTTTCCCCGGAGGATCTACTGCCCAGCATTGAGACCACAATTGTAGCCCATGGATACAGCATGCGTCGCATTATTTCCCAGTTAAATTTCTATGCTAACGAACCGCGCTTCCACCAGTTACAATTGCAAAAGCTGATCCAGCAAAAGAGGACAATCTCACCCGCCCGACTTGGCATTGAACTGCGTTGTGTGGCGGAGGTCGATCGGTATCCTCATCTTCAGCGCGAGGGAAGCATGTTCGCCCAGCTCTTCCGGGATGAAATCGATCAGAAGAATCAGAAGCTGATCAACTCGAGATCCGGTAAGTTGTCAATAATCAAGAAAATATAATACAAATTAAAAAAACATGTTCCAATTATTTTTACAAATATTTTAAAACATTTCAAGCCTAAAGATAGATATTGAAAAATATTGTAAATATTGTATTGTATTGTAAAATTTAAATATTAATTACTAAAAATATTATTATAAAAAGTTTCTAAAGGCTATTTTTACAACGTTTAAAAATATATATATATGTATATACGGTTTTCATGAAGTGGTATTCAAATATTGCTTACCAAAATAAATCAACAAGAACTAAATAAAGTTATAAAAAATATCAAAATCAATTCTATACCACATTTGCTATTAGTAAATAAAAATTTGGTAATTTGTAATATGCTAAACATGCTTATTTTTTAAATTGAAGCTTGCAACTTAAAGACCAGAAAATGGTTTGAACACGTTTAGCGTTTAATGTGTCTTTTCCAGCATTGCTTTTAATGCACTCGACCGCAATGTCAGCGGCCGCTAATTAAAAATAAATACGTTTCCACAGGGACTGACAGTCCCATCGCGGTCTCGTATTTGGACAATTTGTAACGCAAATTAATAAAAGTGTGACCCCTGACTCCTGAGCCCCTGGTTTCGTTTCTCTCTCTTTATCTCTCTTTTTGCCTCTTCCCGTTTCAGTGGCCACTCGGAGTGCACAAGTGCAACATCTGCTGCTGGTGGCAATTGCGATGACGATGACCGCAGCGCGACTCTTCACACCGCTGACATTTCAATATGGCGCACGGAAGTCGGCGCGCTACAAAATGGCGGCGACGCGATGAATTTTCCCTTGTTTCCGGTCTTCCGTTTTTTTTCTGCCTTTGTTTGTTAACCATTTTTGTAGCTCTAAGCAACTGAAATGCACGTGAGAATTTACAAACTAAATCAATGTAATATTTATGTATAATTGTATTAAATGTCACAAAGTAAAATCAATGGGAAATTGAACTTAAGTCTAGGCAAGCGAATCCTGTAAATAGCCTTTAAGTGTGCAATCGAATTATAAGAACACAATGAAATCATCGTCAATAAACAAGCAAGCAAACAAATGAATTCATTTTGCGTTTTTTTTTTTTGCCCATTTACAGCCACGCCCCCAACTCTTTGCCGCCCTCAGATAGCCGCAAAAGTGCCGTTAAATATGTTGTTGAGCCCCCTTTTTCTCGTCCACATTTCGCTTTATTGTTTCACTTATTTTTTTGTTGGTTTTTTGCTGCCTTTTGAGGCAAATGCCTCGCATGCCTTTGGGCATATCAGCTATGTACGCCACGCCCACAGAGGCATTCAATACCCCGCCCACCGATCGACTCGTCAGTCTCGTTTTCATTGCGCTTTTAAATCGAATTCGTCGAATTCGATTGCAATCGCTTCCTGCATACGCAAGTTTGTGGCTTTGGAAGGGAATGCCCACAACACCAGCACCATTCTCCTCCAGTTGCCGAAATTGCTCAACAAAGTTAAGCCCCTGGCGATTCGAAAAAGGCTTAAGTTTTTTTTTTAGTTTCATAAGTCGACTCAATATATATCAACAGTGTAATTGTTCCATCTTGGTTTGTTCCTTTGATAGCTTATTGAAAATTTCACTCTTTAAGCAGCGATTGGAGCTTTGAACTTATGAAAATTTCTAAGATGCCATACAGATTTTACCATCAAAATCAAGAACAGGTTTAGCCAACATAGACGTAATTTATCAAATGTAAAATCAAAGTCAAAATCACAGTATTCTGCTTTTCCACCCTGAAGGAAATGTACCTGGAGACCATTTTCACTTAAAGGGGTGCTTCAATTTATTTATTTCGCTGGCAAACACAGACAACAATATATTGCCCTTTTACTATTTTATTTTCATTTCCCATGCATTTTTAAATCCTTTACCCTTTTGAAAAGCTGTTGAGGCCTTTCTCGGCTGGAGATTCGTCCATAATGCTCAACATTAACGTATAGGGATCACTGAGGCGTATTACCCTCTGCCAGAAAAAGGACATGAAAGGACACGAGTCCCCTGCAATGTTAAAAAACTCATTAGAGTTTCGTTTAAAATAAATCAATATCGTTTAATTATACCCGTTACTCGTAGAGTAAAAGGGTATATTGTATTCGTGCAAAAGTATGTAACAGCTAGAAGGAAGCGTTTCCGACCCTATAAAGTATATATATTCTTGATCAGGGTCACTAGCCGAGTCGATATAGCCATGTCCGTCTGTCCGTCTGTCCGTCTGTCCGTCTGTCCGTCTGTCTGTCCGTCTGTCTGTCTGTCTGTCTGTCTGTCTGTCTGTCTGTCTGTCTGTCCGTATGAACGCTGAGATCTCGGAAACTATAAAAGCTAGAAGATTGGCATTTGCATGCAGATTCTAGGAGTTCCTACGCAGCGCAAGTTTGTTTCAAAAAGGTGCCACGCCCCCTTTAACGCCCACAATCGCTTATATACGATTTTAAAAATTTAAATATTTCGGAAAAGTAAAAATGCAGTTTTATTGTGTTTATCAATACCTATCGAAATGTAGAAGAAATTTTTCAAATCGGACCATTCGTTAAAAAGTTATGCGTGATCAAAGTTTCTATCTCCATCTCCCTCGCACTCCCTTTACCTTAGTAACGGGTATCTGATAGTCGGGGCACCCGACTATAGCGTTCTCTCTTGTTTTATTTTAAAATAATATGCAAATAAGTTAATAGGTTAAATTTTCATTTGGTTTTTTTCTGGATAATTATATCATATTTTTTCGGAAAAAGTATTAAAATTTTCAATAAAAGATTTTGTATTAGGGAAAGGTTGGATTCTGAATGTCTATTGATCCGCTTTTACGATTTTTTTGGGTTTTCCAATAGTATTAGCGCTCACTTACAAATATAAATAAATTTAGAAGGCCCACAGGACCAAGCACTGCCATATTAAATCGTCCCAGTGGACGTGAACAGGGCTTTCCCCACAACGTCATGTAAAAATGAGGGATCAGAGTTGCCGCGCCAGGCACACCAGCACCAACGAGGAGCGTAAAAAGACTATTAAGCGATAATTTATTTGTAATCTGCGACGTGGACGGACGGACCCTTCAGCATCCTGCAACAGTTCTGAGTTCTGAGACCGAACCACTGCACTCGTACACAGGAAGAAATCTTTTAACTTTAATACCAAGTAAACACCGTCACCTTGGGATTGCAAGCAATAAATTTTAACTTAGTAAACATTCATACTTTAGTTAGATAAGTTATGTAACATTAATTAAGAAATAATTTGATCTTAACAACAATATGTTTATTTGTATAATATCTGTGTGTTTTTTTTATAAGTGGATACCTAATTTGTAAAGTAATCATAAGTGTACATTAAATTATTATTATTATTTTACATTATATTACATAAGATATACACATACGTTTTTAACTATATTGACTTAACTTTCGTTGTCTGAGATTTCAGGGCTTATTTAATTTGTTCACATATACTGGAAACTATGAAAACGATCAATCATGTTTTTCCGTGTACGAAGACTGAAAGAGGAGGAAAGGATCCAGTTCATCTCAGGGGGCAATAAAGCGCCAACAGGAGCAGCAGGAGCGGAGTCCTGGCAATGGCCCAGGCAAATATTTAAAGGCGCTAAGACGGGCAGTCAGCAGCAGTGGCGATTGGGATCGAAAAAGGGGGGATAAATGCCAGGAAAATAAGGGCGTGGTATCCCCCACTCCAGAGGCCAGATGAAATGCCCAGACAATGTGGACAGCTGGTCTTTAAAGGGGAGCAAATAAATGATTTGGCCAGCTTGCTTAAATAACAACAAATGCCAATTACAATTGCTTTAATGGGCGAGTGAAATGGGGTAGGTGGGGTGTTTGGGCAGGGAATGGAGGATTGAAGGAAATGGTCACAGAATGCACTTGGTGCTCCAGAAAACCGCAAGGATTAAGTAATTTCTGCCAGACATGCAGCAGCCGCAATCGCCAAATGAACACAAAAACTTTGGCCCAGTGAAAGAGACGGACTGAGAGTGTGCGAGGCGTATATATATATATATAAGGGGAATGGCAAGGACTCTCTGGCACTCTAATGCACTCGTGTGTGCAATAAATTGGCATATCCTTGCCAACCCACACAAACACAGACACACAAACAGAGCCAGGAAGATACACTCACAGACACAATGAGTTTTGCGTGTGCAGAGGCTGCTGTATTATGCACAGGATGCGCATAAGAATGAAAATCCTTTTGCACTTAATGGCAACACGGAAAAAGGCAACCGAAGGAGCTGCCTCCTTTTCGGGTAATATTATTTTGTGCAAAATTTCTTATTTCACCGTGGAAACTCATAAAATCCGCCGGCCCTCCTTTGTGGACTCGATGAGCTGCTGCTGGTGGCCAACAAACGGCGAGTGTCCAGCGAACTGCATCTCCTGCTGCTTAACCACTTTGAAGGCCATTAATTTGCAATGACCGTGACGTTGGGCGGAGGTCGGGGATCGGGAATTCCCGGGAAAACCCCCCAAGGAAGGAAAAACTGGAAAAGGGGTAACCAGCGAAGCATACTGGCACATCCTGGCTGGCTTCTTGTCTAGCTTGCTCCACTTTACGAGCGTTTCAGCGCCGCTCCACTTTGCACATTTATTGTTTTTAATGCATTTATACCAACTGAGGGCAAAGGGTAAATAGAAGGCGGGAAAGACCTCAGAAATTGCTCGAGCCAAAAGGAAAATTAAGCGCCTTTAAGAAAAACGGGAAAATAACATCCATCGAGAGTCGATCTGGCCTGCATCAAAGTGCAATATATACGAACATTATTTATTTAAGCCTCACACACTCACGCAGAAACTTCCTGAGGGGAAAAAAGAGAAATCGGGCCCTGCAGGATGGAATGCTAAGATGCTGACATACGTAGATGCTGAGATTGCATGCAATCTGCTTTGCCAGCGAATTTCTTCAGCGAATGCAGCTAATGAAGCCGAGTGAGTCCTTGTGGCGGGATGTGCCAAATCTATCTAAATATTCCCGTTTCCCAGCACAACCAGAGTGATTAAATGTGGTTGCGGGTAGCCCCTGGGATTTTTAAAGAAAAATAGCAAAAAGGACTGGAAAATAGAAAGTGTTTGAGTAAAGGAAAAACAACAGTACCATCTATTGTAATTACTGACCAAATGATATAAAAATCACTGTCGGAAAATATATTTTACTGAGTGTTAAGTTAATTGATTGTATTTTCCCATTTTGAAGATTTTTAATCCTTGTAAACAATGTGTGTTTCAAACTCTATATTTAAAAGACTGTGTATTATTTTGTGGTATTGGGCAAGAAATTAATGTATTAAAAATTACTAACTATATTAAATCAACATTAGCTCAAAGAAAATTCATTTACTTTTATCTAATTACCCTTGCCCAATTTCCTGTTCATATCGGACCATAAAGTATACATTTATGTTGTGAAACCTTATCAACTTGTTATAGCTATTAAGACTCTTTGTTTTAATGGGTTTCTTCCAGTGAAAAGTGTGGAGAAGTGAAGTGAAACCATAGTGGGTGAGTATTTTCTTGAATTGACTTTATCCGCTTCGCTTTTAGCTGTTGTCCTGCCAGATGCCGACCATTCCTGGCAATCAGGCGCAACGACTTCCGTCGCCGCATGGAAACCGCAATTGAAATGTTTTCATGGCGGCAACTAAAAATTGTCATCGGGATTTTCATTACCTGCGGCCAAGTTGGCTTCTCGGCCACGTTTTATTAAAGATGCTGAACCACACACAAGCCATTCAACACCCAGTCAACACCCACACCCGTAGGCATTTGGCATTGGAGCTTAATTAAGTTTGTGCCACGCCCCCTCGACCCCCCCCTCAAAATCAGTTGCAGGCGCCGAGGAAAACCAAATCCCTTTATCAACAGAAAATGGCGTGAAAAAAAATGCAATTAGTGTTGCACTCGCTACCCACGCCTTGCGTTTAATTGCGAACTGCGGTGAATTAAATCATTTTCAGGGCGGCATCTTAAAGCCTTCAAGGAAAAGCTGGCGCAAAGGATGGCGGCCAAAAGGTACCCCATCTAACAACAACAAACCGCAGTGGGGC